CCTACATAACCATTCTCAAAAAAAACATCAAATAAAATAAAAAGTTTTCTGCCACTCATTCCAGAAAGGGCAATTCTCACTAAGGAGCGCACACAAACTTTTGCATTAGGTACTATAAAAGAGTTATAAGTTGCACAAGCAATGGGTCACTTTAGATGAAGTAAACATAAAAATCGAAAGACGGAGAGGAAAAAAAAAAAGTTTATTTTCTGAAAGAAAAAAAAAATGATGTAGAAAAAAAATAGACGAGAAAAACAAAGTGTTATCTGAATTATACAGCAGGCTCAGGCTGTGTACTCTGCTTCTCTGTGACCTGTGGGAAAGAAAATATAATTGTAAACATACTTTAGCAACTAAAATGATAAAGTGCTAATTATACATTCATGCCATGAACTATATGATCAAGCTGTCTGCCAAGGAATTTGTGCGGGGCTGCCGAGGACGCAAGGGGCTGATATTTATTTAAATGCAACAAAATTTGGCATCCATGGAAATGTGTTTATGAACGCCCCAGCCACCAGCCCAATTAGAATAGGATTCTTGCTCCAGCAACCTCTGAATATTTTTCTTTTCTTTAAATCATAACTTACGTCTAACTCACATATTACAGAGACCTCCACGACTTAACACCTGCTACCCTGAAGAGGTGTCATATTATTAAAGAGAACCTGACACGTTGTATTTGCTTCCATTTAAAGCATTGCTGTATTTTTATTTTATACTGAAGGGCTGAAACAGCTAAAGTGTTTACTGCAAAACTCTTGATGTAATCTGGTATATTATTGTGCAAATGATATTCAATGCAGCCCATTATGTAGAAGGCTGGCAGGTGAATATATCTTCCAGCTCTCCATACATAACAGGGGCCAACTTGGAGAAGGACAGTGAGGGAAAGGAGTAAATAATGACCAGATGGACAGACCTTGCCACCTCAGTTTTAAGTCATCATCATCCTTACTAAATGGCTGCAATCATATATGCCCCAAGAACATTCAATTATTAGCCACTTTATTAGGTACACCAGAATAATACCAGGTGAGACCTCCTTACCCTTTACCCTCAGAACAGTTAGAATTCTACAATATTAGATCAACAAGGTTATGGAAAGATGCTGTAATATAGGACCCCTGGGCCATGCTAATGCAACAGCATCACAGGTTACTGCATGTTTGTCAGCTACGTTTTTATACTGCAAACCCCCAGTACATTTCATTCTCAAAAACTCAATGCTGCCTATACCAAAGTTTGACAACATCTGCACGTTGCAATAGAAAAATTGACTGACTGATCATCAACTGGGCAGTTTTGCAGATTGTGACTGTGTGTGTTAGTTAGGACTACTGGTTTATCTAATAAATTGACATAAGAGACTATTAAATCCACTGCATACAAAAAAGTTTATATTGTTTTTCCTGTGCTCATCAAAAGTCCATTTATTTGGACTAAACGTCACACATATTGCATAATCCAACATTTCGGGACCACGCAGGGTCCCTTCATCAGGGCAGAGATTGTCACATCTCTGCCCTGATTGTCCCATCTCTGCCCTGATGAAGGGACCCTGCGTGGTCCCGGAACTTTGGATTATGCGATATGTGTGACGTTTAGTCCAAATAAATGGACTTTTTTTTTATTTAATTTACGGAGTGCTGGTGATTTCTATCGTTCATTGACTGTTGTACACGGTGCCATCCATGATTGTCATTGCGAGCACCACTATTTTCACTTGGACCGGAAGCGCTGTAAGGAGTGCAGGGGGACCTACTGTTTTCTGGAATTTACTTCTGCACTAAGACATGCAATTCTGCACACCGTTGTTGCGAGTAGCTTTAGACCTGTTCATTATGCAGGCCATGTGCACCCAGGGATGGACATGTGACCATTCATTAAAGCTGAAAATGAAGATATGTGGGGGCAGATTTTGCACCTTGGTGGCACAGACTGTTGTTTTAAGTGTATTGCTTGTTTGACACAAACTGAGACTTTACAACTCTCTGGATTTGCATTAACTGGCAGGTGTACCTAAAAAAGCTGCCACACAGTGCATATGAAGATAGATAGATAGATAGATAGATAGATAGATAGATAGATAGATAGATAGATAGATAGATAGATAGATAGATAGGGGATATAAGTGCCTATCTAGAGGCAGAGCCATCTGTACCCGCCCCCTCCCCCGTCCATTCCTCCAGTCAGCGCTGGAGGATCGGAGCGGGGAGAGGGGAATCCCTGCGGTGACTGACAGTCACGGCTCTCTGCAGGGAGATGATGGAGAAGTGAGCGAGCGCCGGTATGTATTTGCTCACTTCCGATCTATTGAGCCGACCTGTGACAGTTTCATTGTCACCGGTCGGCTGGAACTATGAGGAGGAGTGATTTTCACCCACCTCATAGTTCTCCTTTAAATGCTCCAAAAAAGTTGCATTCTACGTAAAAACTTGCTGAATTCGGACGTTGTTCAAATGAACCTTTACAAGTTGAATTTGATGTCCTTTAACACAAGCACCTCCACATAGTAAAACCGTCTACTTCCCACTGAAATTTTACAATGTAAAGAGGAACAGAAGCAGTGACGCTGATGGCTTTAATGTGGCTGTTTCTATAGCAAGTAGATTTCTCGGTCAGAAGGAAAATACTGTAACTGCCAATGAGGTCAGAGAGAGGGAAGGATGAGTAACGGAGCAGAAGTATGTCAGTGATATGGTCTGTGTCCTGCTCCTTTCATTCCAATTTGGTTCTCGCAGAGAAAACCTCCTCTAGAGGAACGCAAAATGTTCCTTTTATTTTTGTTCTATTTCAGTTTAATTGTTATGGGCTTGTTTGTGTGGCCATTTAGAACTCCCGGGGCTGCTTTTTTTCTTTCTTCGGTCCTAAGCTGTGCCAATCCCTTGCAGGCTGATGTTTAGGGTAATCTGAATATTAGCAAATCTCAAAGGATCAATACAATTCCAAATCACCAGCCCGCGAACAGGGATCCTCATAAAACTTTATTTTCTTAAATCATGGCATAAAAGCAGTAGCAACAAACATGCTGAAATGTTTCAGCCTGAACAGAGGGTCCTAGTCATGGGTATGTAGCTGCATATCTGCACTGCGAGATGCAAGGCACTGTACCTATTACTGCTCGTCTCAAGATCTGAAGAGAGATTTAGTAATTTGTAAATACGGTGCTGCTCAATGTTCTCCTTGCTGGAGAGGAAGCTGTACCTGAGGACCTGCAATGGAAAGATCTACCAGCTTCTGCTTCATTCATTCTCTGGATCCATGCTGCCTCTACCTCTCCTGCTGGTTCATGAATATAACCCCCAATCATCAGATCACCAATCATGAGGGTTTCCAGTCCTGACATGCGTTAGCAATGCAGTGATACCAAGATGGCTGCCGGAACAAAGAAACTGTGCAGAACAAAGCATGTCAATCACTAAATCAGGAAAAGATCTGCTGCAGGCAAATGCCAGACAATACTGGTAACTAGTCCTCTTCTTGCCTCCTGGGTACAGCTTCCATAGTACAAGTCCACTTTAACTACCTGCTGTCCGGCCGTTGTAATTAAACGGCCAGACAGCGGCTTCTTGAGGGCTGGTCCTATCCCGCTACGCTCGTGCCCGCCGCTAGGCGGCACGCACGAGTGGGAAACCGGCTTTGAATGTAAACAGCCAGCGATGGCTGTTTACATACAAGCGTTCGGGCGTCTGTAGAGACGCCCGATCGCTTATAATATCCGGTCGGGTGTGCGCGCAACCCCCCCCCTCCGCTGCTGCTGGCGATCCCGGGCCAGCACAGCAGCTCTGCGGCCGGAGATCAAACTGAGCTCAGTACACGAGCTCCGTTTGATCTCCTCTCCTCTTCTGAATGCAGGCAGTGATGTGTATTACATCACTGCCTGCATTCAGTGTCACTCTCCGGTACAGAAACCGGAGAGAAGCTGGTGAAGCAGGTCTCTGCTTCATCAGCTTCTCTGGGGGTCCCTAGGTGACATTAGGGGTCTCCATAAAGAGGACCTGTCACTGCAAATTGGCTATGTTTGCTCCCTATGTGATAGCAATAAAGTTCAGTGGAAAAAAAAGGTTTACAAAAAAAAATCACATATCAAAGCAATAAAAAAAAATAAAGTCCCCCGACCCCACAAACATGCGTCAAGCCCGCCTACGTGCGAAAATGCTGATTACATGCATTGCGCCGCATATGTTACATATCGCCGCGAACGTCGGAATTAGAGCAATAATTCTAGGGCCATCAATAACTGATAACACTAAACTGATGAGCGGTAAAAGCTTTTAAAGCGTTGTCTATGGTCAATTTTGAGTATGGTCGTTTTTTTTGCGATATAACGAGTGCGCGCAATTTTAAAGCTTGACATGTTTTATATTTTACCAAAAAATTGGGTAATAATAAATGTTTTATAACATTACGTAGGGAGAACAGTTTTTTTTTTCAAAAATTATCGGTACTTTTTTTGTTATACAGTAAAAAATAAAACCCCCAGTGGTGATTAAATACCACCAAAAGAAAGCTCCATCTGTCCCCAAAAAGTTTTATAAAATTCATTTCAGGACAGCGTTGGATGACGTAATAAATGTCAGTCAAAATACCGCAGCGCTGAATACTGAAAAATGGCCTGGACAGGGAGGGGGTATAAACACCCCGGTCAGCAAATGGTTAATACATGAAAATGATTCCCAGAGTAGCCCAGACAACTAAACTGAGAAAAAGATTGCAGCGGGTGCAAGTCGCAGTGACTAAATTGAGTGTGGGTGGATGGCTCGCCAAACATTATTGCCGAGACATCTGCCCATGTATGAGCACACTTAGGTGACAAATTCTTGCTCAGGCAGGGTGGCACTCTTGTCCTGTTTTTGTAAGTGCGTTTTGGAGTTTGTAATTTTTGCACCCCTTTATCATTTAATGTACAGCAATGTGTAATATATTGGTGCTCTATAAAAGAATTATAACAAATAAAGGTCTAACTCTTCAGTATGATTCTGTGCAGTCCAAGGTTAACTTGAGCACAGAGCTGCATTTCCTATACAGGAGCTTGGACAGCATCACTGCTTCATGAAGGTACAACTGATGTGGTCTGACAGGTCTTGCTCAGCTCAATCACGTCTTGTTTACAGACATGGTGATTCTTGTAGTATTTCTGCCTTCTAGCTATTGTTCAGGGATTCTGCAGCCTGAAATGTAATTGAGACTCACTGAAGAAAACACAGCACCGAATCGTTCACTGGCTGAACCCAACCTTCAGATGCCAATTACAAAACTGTATTGGCATCTGTCATTCATGGGTCATGTTATCATATCCAATGTTTATGTAACCAATGACCTTACAGAATTAGATATAGTGATGTGACTGGGAGTGAACTGGCTGCATACTGGCACATAGAACTGTAAACCTTATTCTTTAAGGCTGATTTGGCTGCGGGTATGTAACAATTACGCTGTAATGTTTAATACCATCATATTCTGCATTCCACACAGAGCAGTTTATATCAGTTTGCACACCTAAATAAACGATCAGCCGTCCCTGGCTTTGACAACAATGGTGGTATTCAGAGGTTCTCTCATTTTGCATTACTTGCTAAGTGGCGTGGAACTTGGAGAGAGGTTGACTCCTTATATACAGCCTAGGCCTAGGATCCAAGGTCCCCGCAAAAAAGGGGCTCAAAAGGCTACTCAAGTTGCTACTTGTGTTAATATTACATGCAGGTGAACAGGACAGGTTGTTTTGTTAATGTAGTTCATATGATTAGCATGCATCATGCAACTCTGTAAATGGTATTTTCTCTGATTACCATGCAAAATACATGTTATCAACCCAAAAAAAACCATCATATTTCTCTGCCTAAACTTTCATTAAGTTTCTGTGAGCTTATATGGTTGCCTTAGTTACAAGAGTCATTTTTAACCAAGAGGCACATCCCTGACTCTATGCCCCTGACGAAGTCATCTACAACATAATGTATCTAACACGGAGCCAAGCTATGCAATGGTGGGCAGAGCTTTGACGCACAGCAGGATTCACTCGGCGCCGGCATCTCACTCTTCTCGATCTGTTGAATATCCACTTCACGCACTTCTCTGAGATCATCTGCTGCACAACTTTGTGTGAATTGATTAGATTTTAAAAACGTATTTAAATGGGGAGCACTACGGCTCGTCCTTTGTTTTATCCATGCTAATCTTTACCCGGAGAGGGGATTCTTATTATCCACCATCAGATAAACAGGCATCTGAAAAGGGATCAGCCTTGTTAGACCATTACCCATGAGGTCTCAGTAAAAGGTGAGCAATTTTCCATTGGGTATGAGCACATTTTAAGTGAAGAGCACATTGGAGCATTTTTGGATGGATTGCCATATTTAAAGAAAAACTCCAGGATTTTGAAAAGTTAACCCCTGATGAGGCTACCCCAGCACTGCAAGGGTTAACTGCTTGCTTTTCTCTAGGGGCGAAAATAAACTACTACTCAGCCATTCCTTGGTCCTGTGGCAGTGACTGCTCATCTCTCTACCCCTCCGCACTGGCTGTGGTATGTCCCTCGGCATCTTCACTTGTAATAGAACTGTATTAGAAGTGATGGTGTCACGGGTCCTTAAAGTGGAACTTTATCCCCTTTTACTAAAAATCACCTCAACATGCAGCTCTGCATGCTGATATGAAATCATTTTACATTCATTAAATAAACATATTTTTATTTTACTTAGTTATTGTTTTTCCACTTCCTGGTCCTCTTGGGCATTAGTGAGGTAATGTGCTCAAGGGTTCTGGGAAGGTTACATCAGCAGACCATTGCTGGAAAATCTCATCTGTAATCTCAGGGAAAGGCATTTTTCTCCCTTGAGATGATGTGCATGGTCACATGTCGTAGTCACATGTGCCAGAGTTCCAGGAAGTAAAGGGAGATCTATTAATCTGCCTTTCGTTAAAACGGCCACTGTGAGAAGACTGGGGAGCAAAAGAGAAATAAGGTATGCAAAGAATACTAAGCCGGCAATTATCTAGAAGTATGTGTTTGTAGATTGTCATTACTAAACATTTCTAAAGGTGCCTTTGTTGTCATTTCCTGTATATGGGTAAAGTTCCTCTTCAAGCTGGCCATGCGCTATTCAATTTTTTTTCGTTCAACCCACAGGCTAATAGAAAAAATAGAACAGATTGCTCCATCAATGCGTATGAGCGCTGATCGAGGAATCTCCCACTGGCTCTATTGTATTGAGACGCTGTCCGCTTTTAGAATACCCGAACAGAGCCAGCAGCTAATTGGCTGCCGTTCTGTTCGTTCAATTATTTTTCCGTCTGGCTCCTTCGACCTGCTAAATGAGGGATTCCTCAAGAACCAGATAGAATGTGCACAGTGTATGGCCACCTTTAGACCACCGGAGCCCTTCTTTATTTTTGCCTCCTAGATTAAACAAGCAGTTAACCCTTTGCTGTTTGGGGGTAGGCCCATTGCAAGGGTTAGCTTTTCAAAATCCTGGAGTTCCGCCTTAAGGAGAAAGAAATACTATATTTGTCACATTCTTGCCACTTTGGTCACCTATATTGGCTTGGAATGGAAACATTTGTTTATATCAACTGCTCATTGTTGCTTTATATGTAACACAGATATTTGTTGTTCATTTGTTCTATGTATAAGTTTTTTTTTGTATTCACTTTAGGACCTATTAGGTATAGTGTGGCACAGGGATATTTTGTTTATATTGGGAGAACTGTTTTCCATCCATTTAGTGCTTGCAGCGTATTAGTTAGTAGCATGGGGTATATTTAATTTGACTGAGGTTGCTGTGAGCGGCACTGTTTGGCACTAACAGTTAAAATCAACTTTGCATAATTCCAGTGCACATCATGGCTCTTTTCTGTGCAGGTCTTCCATGATGCATAGTACATTTAACGAAATGCGAAGAATCAGGAAAACCAGCAATATTAGTGCAATAATTAAATGTAGCTAAGAACACAAAGAGGGTTATTCACAAAACTAGCCAAAGGATCAGCCGTAGCACAGGCTGATCCTTCGGCTAGCTTCGGCCGTCTGAGCCCTTCGGTTCAGTCGAACCGAAGGGCTGCTGTACGGGCTGTTCACTAAAGCCCGTACAGCTCCCGAAGGCATATGCTTCGGCTCGACTGAGCCGAAGTGACACCCGGAGCGGACTTTCAGCCGGCTGAATGCCTTGCAACTGACAGCTGGCCGAAGCCAGCCATGATCTCAGGGCTGGCTCAGCCCAGCTGCAATAACAGATCAGCGTCCCCGGGTTACGCTGAACTCTCATTAAACAATGGCAATTGGAAGGAGTCGGCCGTGACGTCGCTGCCAGCTCCGCCCAGTTGTTATGCATTGGCTGGGACCTGCTAGAAAACTCTAGCAGGTCCCAGCCAATAGGAAACATTTGGGTGGAGCTGGCTGTCACTGCTAGCTCCGCCTTTTTTTCTTTTTTCAATAATCTCTTTCTTTTTTTAAACATCTTTATTTTCTTTTTTAAAATTTAATATGTATGTACATTTTTAAAATCTTTTTTTTCAACTTTTTTCAACGATTTCTTATTGTGCTCGGTACCATGGACGGCGGCATTCGGCTATTCACTCACAGCCGTTCGGGCCCCTATGTTAATAGGGGTGAACGGCAGCGAGTGAGTTGCCGGAGCTTCGACACAGCCGATCCAGATGTTGGATCGGCTGAGTCTAACTCCTTCTGCACTTCGGCTCCACCGAACATGCTGAGCATGTTCGGCTGAACCGAAGCCAGTCGATGTATGGCTGAAATCAGCTGTACAAGCCCGAAGTGAATAGCCGAACAGCGTTCGGCTCACTTCACTTCGGGTGGGTTATTCACTCTGCTGCCTTTGGCATTTTCACAGGAAGAAAGTATGAATATGGGCTTAAAAGATCATTAACAGGAAAAAAAAAAAAAAGCAGACACACACAAAGTGTTCCTAAAAAAAACGTAAACGAGTCGGCGTCTCCTTCGATTCAACTGATAGCTGTTATTTGGGGTAGCAGTAGAGATTTTATATTGACTTTATTGCAAACTGTCTAATTTTACATGCCACGGGCCGTAAATATGAGGAATTATTCCACTGCAGTCTGCTTTTGCCTATAACCAAATGCACTAAAAGACCTTCAATCGTCTCAGCCATTTTATGAGCCAGCTTTTCCTAATTCTTCTCCAAGGAAGTTTATTTCATTAGTATGTTTCATTAATCCTGTGCAACAAAGGTGTCACGAGACAACGATGCGTTATATGCGTGCAGTGCATTGTGGGCGAGCTTACCAGCTTTTGGGCTCTTATTCTCAGCTTATTCCAGACTGTGTGATGAGCCTGCAGCAGGAAAAAAAATGTCACAATGAGTCACATTAGATAATTACAATGCAACAGATGCCATATACGAAGAAAAACCATTAATGTAGAGATGCTTTAATGGGGTTTTTATGTGTGAGACGCTTAATCCAGACTGCTAAATACATAAATGAAAAACATACAGAAGTGGACAAATATGTTGGTACCCTTGCAAGAATAAAGAAGGAGTGCAGCATTTTCTTGAAATAACTTTAAACAAAAGTCATTGCCATAGAAATCAGACTTTGCTTTTGATTCTTGATCCAACAGAATATTTCAAATTCTAATACAAATGAAAATGTCATGGACAAAAATGATTGCACCTTTAACCTAATATTGGCAGTCATTTCCGTTTTCCCTCCATCGCAAAATGGAGGAAAAAAACTGGACGGACATGGATGCCACAGCGGTGACATTCGATGCATGCCGATCCGATCGGGGGGTGGAAGGGGCCTTATAAATTCTCTTTGACCAAAAGACCTCACTTGCTGGCAAATTTGAGCTTTTACTGTTTATTTTGCCTTAGTTAATGATGCCCGAGGGTAGCAAAACACCCAAAAAATAGCATTTTCAGAAAAACACAACAGCAGCCCTTGTATTTCTATCTGGACAGGTCTCCTCTGCACTTAAAATACACAAAAAAAATAAATACATTTTGGATCCTATGATTTCTGCTTTCCAAGGTTTCTGAATAAATTGCAGCATTGAAGCACCGGCGAGGGGTACAATCAATACTATGCTCAGGCAGCGCACGGAGAAAACAAAACTTTTCATCTGTAACCATCCCCCTCTTCCGCAGCAACATACTGCCTGCTCAGCGTGATCCCATGAAAAGGACGGCGAGCAGAATCGCCTTTCACAGCCTATATATAGTTTAATAATTCAGAAAATCTAGTATCTTATTAAAGAGGGAGAGAAAAAAAACACGCTATTATACTTCAGCATAAAACTGCAGTTTTTACTTAAGACTCAGCAAGAATGAAGGAGAACGCCAGCAACCACTTGGGGTTATCTGAAGTGTTCGTAAACAATTTGCCTTTGTAATTATGCTAATATGAAGCGAAGGCTTATATGCGGCAGCTATACACACAATAAAGGCTTGATTGTAATAGTACTTTACAGCAAAATTTCAGAGGCATGCAAAAACAACAACAAAAAAAGATAAAAAAAAGAATAGAAAAACAGTTAAAAAGAAAAAACTAAAATACAGCAATTTCTTAGGGAAAATGAAATGATTTAGCTGAATATAAATACATAAAATATGAAAATATAAAATAGTGGATACAATAATAAAAAAAAAATTAAGGACAGAGCACTTTAAAGCAAAACTAGATTTCTCTATTTTAATTTAAAAAGTAAATTGCCAAATGCATAAAAAAAAATTAAAAAACAAACCAGCCTTTGCTGCAATGCTTACCTTTGATCCAACCCCTGTACCCACAGGAATGCCTCGCCACCACTAGATAAAGCTCCTCTTCCAGGCTGAATCATGGCAAGTATCATTCAACCCATTTCCTGTATAACCAGACTGTCATGGACACACCCTCTAGGCCTGCGATTAGGATTAGAGTACATCTGTGTTGAACTCTAATCACACATCATTACGTGAGCAATGTTCTGCACTGAAGGACCACCCACTGCTGCACCGGAAAAGGCTGGACCCATGAAATGACTGGACAGGAAAGAAGGGTCTTGGGGAAAAAGTACCCTAATTTGGTTTAAAAAGAATATAGGGGCCTCTGGGGGTAAGGGTTGTTTAGCTTTAAAAACCACCTTCCCTCACAAATTAAGTTTCAGTTTTCCATGATTGCTGATAAGCCAAATTAAAAGATGGCTTCTTACATCTGTCACAGATGGTGGTGGTAAGAGCTCATAATTTTGTTCTACTACCAAGGCATTTATAAAGCTAAATTATGGTGTCCCTCTCTCTGGATGGGTTCTTCATAATTCAGGATTAAAAAAAAAGTTATGAAGGCCAGCCAAAAGGCAATGGCTTCATCAATATAGACCTGTATGCAGGGACAGAAAAACAAAATACCAGTTGTCAGAGTCATCGAGAGATAGAAGAGGCTGGCAGGCGAGGATGATTTCAGCTAATCAGCTGCCTGCTCACTGTTTACACTCCAGCTTCTTTGATGTCATAGTGAGGATGATTTTAGTAAATCAGCTGTCTGCTCATTGCTTATATGCTGCTTTCTGTGATGTTATGATGAGGATGATTTCAGCCAATCAGCTGGTTCTATACTGAATAGGTCTTCCCCAAAACAGGGAATCCCGGCCTTTTTCGCTCTACAGAGAGGTAAGTCGAAGGTTTAGGGTATTCCTGGAGGAGAAAGGCCAGAGGCTGTAGAGTATGAAAACGATACAAATGACAATGGAGAAGAAACATAAGAGCAATCATACAGAGTCATCCTGGAAGACATTGTAAAGATCCATCTATTTGTCAGAGAATGGAGAATACAAAAGTTTTACAAGGTTTTCAGAAATCTTCCATTCGAAGGTTTGCCCATCTGCTGGTCCCCCTGGATATCACTATTCTCCAGGAGTTGGAGGTCATTGACCTGAAGACTAAAATAGCTGCTAAAATGAGACTCATCCAACAACTGGAGGATTTGAATACCTGGAAGAAGAAAACAGCAAACCTTCACAATAGGATAATGGTGCTTGAAATTTGTTGTCCCAATTACCAAAACTTAAGCAGGACAACAAACATTAAATTGAAAGGAGATGTCCATATACAGAGAAAGGGTTGTGTCGGAGTTGAGGAAGAAGACTGAGAGGCTGGAAACCTACCAGCACCTCTTCTATTACCTCCAGACCAAACCAATGTACTTGTCCAAGCTCTTCTCTCAGATGTCGGAATGTGAATATATGACTCTAGCAGAAAGACTTCACCTCAGACTCTATAGCTTTGCTCCCCTCCACGAGAAGAAGATCTCTTGCTGAAATTCTTGGAAACTTATCTTCAGTATGAAGTAGAAAATAATTGTACTCATATTAAAGATACAGTTTATTGGATGGAAGATAGTCATTCAAACAGCTTTTACAGGGGGGCCACAAAGTACAATGTTGTCCTTCAGAAGCTCAATCTAGTGATACAGAAGATAATGTGTCATGGCAATCAGAGTCATAGAGGCCAAAAGAATGGATCTATTCCTTATGGAACTAGATATGCGGCAAAAGTCTATAAACGAGCTCTGCACAAACAGTTTCCACTAGCAACTGAAGTGCAAGTTGTGGGGACGCTTGGCCATTTCCAATATAATTTTAAATGTAACAAATGTTTTAGAATATATATA